ACACACACACACGCAGTGATAATTTAGCCTTGAGAGGTGCCAGTCACAATTTTCTTACATGTAAGTGCTACATAACATGTTTTTACAGAGAGCTTCCCTAAGGCTAAGCAAATGTGGTTAATTAGGGGAGGCCTCCTAGCTGTGCAAAGCCATTCTGATTCCTTTTAGGAACCACCATCATTATTGTTAAGAGTATTTACTGAAAGCTGAGCTGGACAGCTATTGTACAATTTCATCTGGCAAATGCACAAAAATTGCACTCCCTATTACATATCACGGCACTAATTACCCAAATGAAACTCCAGGGGCACCTTAGGTAGATGCAGTACAGTGAATTAAGGAAGGAAATAATTAGTCACAATTACAGAAACGAGCTTAACACAAAGTGAAAGACTGCGCACAGCCCACTCCCTGCAGGGCACAGAGAGCCTTAGTAACAGCTTAAGAAATGCAGAAGATAAACACGACTTCTATGAAAGTAAGAAAGGGACAAACGTCAATGTTAAGTTGTAAAAAACATGACTTTATTTGTTGTTTTCTGTTTCTGTGTACTACATAGCCAAATAACATTAAGACATTTTATCATGACTACACACTGTAAGTCAACTTTTACCCCTTTTCTTGACAGTCTTAGATGTCTTGTCAGCATTTGACACAATCTCAACTCATGAGTAAATAAGTGGCAAAAGGAAAAATGTGTGGGCGCATAAGACATGGAGTTTCAATCCCAATACCAAGCAGAGGAAGGTGGCAGAGAGAGGTACTTGGAAGAAATTTATACCAGATTATAAACCATGCACAAGAAGTGTTCTTTGACATAGTCAAGAAATTTAGTCCACTAAAGTTATATAGCCTGGTCAAGACCTCCTGATACCCCTTGAGCCAGGGCAAATTCTCATCTGTCTCCCCCAAATAAAGGTACAGATGCCATCTTGTCAGTGAAGGCCATGGGAAGATGGGTCAAGCACGCTAGCTGGGGAGGCTGGTGTAAAGCTGTGAGAAGCCTGATGCCCACCTCAATCGGAAACGCCAGGATGTCTGATGCTGACGACTACCCAAGCTTTTACATTTCCAGATAGATAAGAAGAGACAGGTGTGGCAACACATGCTTATGATTAGAACACTTAGGGAGGCTGAGCAGGAGGATGGGATCATGAGCTCAGCCTGTACAACTTAGAAACTTAGCGAGATCCTATGTCAAAAAAAAAAAAAAAAAAAAAAAAAAAAAGGAAAGGAAAGAAAAAAAAAAAAAAAAAAAGCTAAGATGTAGGTTAGTGCAAAAGCACTTGGTCCAATCCCCAGTAATAATTTTTAAAAAGAGAGAGAAAATTCTATATACTTGCTAATTTGAGATTGGCAGAGAATCTTGTCCTGAGTTATTGAGCTTCTACCCCAAATGTGAAATCTTTGAATAGCATTATCACATTCAGTATTTATAGGTGAACTGAATCTTAGTCTGCTTTCTAAAAACAAATTGGAATTATATTGACATTTATCTTATCTGTTCTCACTGCTAAGTACTACTGACAGGTTTTTTTGTTTTTTGGTTTTTTTTTTTTTTTGGTGGAACCGGGGATTGAACTCAAGCCCTTGTGCTTGCCAGGCAAACGCTTATTCTACTGAGCTATCTTCCTGGCCACTACTGAGTTTTCATAATGACAGGTCATGAATATTCACTATTTAACATGTCATTACTATTAGTCAGGTATTCAGTAGGAACTAAAGAATGGACTTCTCTTACAGCAGAAAATTAAAAATAAAACAGCAAACTTCCCTTGAGAGAAATGTTAATGAGGCAAAAATTTTGTTTTCTCTTTCTTAAAACCAGAAATCATAAACAATCATAAACTAGCACAGTGTCCACCCTGAATATGGACCTCCCTTATTCCAAGGAACACAAGGAAGATTCCAGGTTCTTTAGAATCCTCCACACAGAGGGTCTGGTCCGAGAGCCAGGTTAGCAGGCTCCTCTAAATGAACAAAATATTTATAGCAGGCAGAGCCTGATGTTCAAGTTGCCATGTATTGTGGTAGTACATTAAAATAGCCGGAAAACAAAGGGGTAAGGAAATAGATGAATAGTAAGCAAAAGCTACAACTGTAAATAACAAATGTCACTGTATCAAGAAGCTTGATATTAAAAATACTGTGTTAGAAATCAAACCAAACCAAATCTAACTTAACACACAAGAAAACACAACAATGTTCTGAGGTGACACCTTGGGCAGCTTTCCTTGGATAAATTTATACATCCCTTTTGACTAGACCATCACCAACTGTTTTTTCTGTATTTTACAATTAAAGCTGACCAAAAAGCTTATTCCTCATGAGATTCAGGCAGCCAATGGAGTAAGAATATACATGGTGTTTCTATATTTACACAGTAATTTCTCATGAATCCTGTAGAGGCTGTGGAAGTAGAGCTAGTTGTTCCTTTTTGGCAAGAGCACTTGTAAAACACGGAAGTGTAGGTAATTAACTCTACACTGAGTCTATCAGTTAAAGAACTTTAGAAAAGTCAGCAGTTCATTTACCTGAGATTCCCATTGAAAGGCTAAAGAGTAATTGGATGCCTTTTACTTGAGAATATGAACAAAAACTTACAAAATTATAAAGGACTAGAGCCAGAAAATTTAGATTCAAAATTAATTCTGAGGCTTTTGAATTGTTATATAAAACCTATTAGAAAGATCTTCCTTCTTAGTTAAAACGAAGTTTTACATAAAGTCATATACTGACTTGATGGTATTTACAATTTCACTCTGGGGTCAGCTTGCAAAATCATTAAGAAAGAAAATCAAATTTTTTTGGAATTTTGAGCAAGTGATAAACAAGAACTATCAGTGACCTATTTCAGTTATGCACTCAGATAAGATTATTAGCTAATAAGATTACTAGTTAATACCAGATAAAGACTTCAGCATAAATATGATTTTTAACCTGAACAAGATTCCCTTTGAAGGGGGATGTTTAAAATAACTGTAAATTTTAACCCCCCAAAAGAGTACGCCCAGTGTTTTCCTCTCAGTTGTCTAAAAGTTACTTTTCAATAGAGGATTTTAGTCATGCACCATCACGGACAACTTGCCAAAAACTGGTTGTTTAAACCCAACAGGGCTGTTTCTAAATACAACACTTCACTCATACTCAGGAACCCAATATTATGGAATTGAATATTTTTACCATGTGAGAACCAAAACCAAGTTACTCTATTTAAATTACTCTAATTTCAACATCAGATCTACTAAAATCAGCTATACAAAATCATCATTCTCTAACTTTAACATAGAACAGAAAATATGAAGCTCTTTGGTCTTCATGATTGGATCAAACAAAATGGATCGCTCCCCATAACCCTTCACCCCATCATGAAGGTTTAAAGGTTTCAAACGCAACTGAGGTGTGTGTTTCTGTTCACCAGTTCCCAACAGCTGCCTTCTCTGTACAACTCAAAGTAGCACTGTGCAAATTCACCAGGAGCAAGAAGCACTCCTTATTTTTCCCATGTTGGGGAATCAATCCTGGGGCCTCTAGCACATTAGGCGAGCACTCTACCCCTGAGCTGCATTCGCAGCCCCAAGAAGCAATATTTTAAAACAGCATTTTAACCCCAAATCATCTCCTTACTTTCTCTTACTGTTACATTACAAAACTTCCTTAGGTCAGTGAAGTATTTAGCTCAAATACCATACTGTGTTGTGTTTTTAAATACAAAAGATAAATAAAAGCTCAGCTGATCAGGCAAAAATTATTGCTAGGTGACACCATTTAGCAGTTTTTGTTTTTGGTACTTTTTTTCTTTTTTTTTTTAAATGTATTTATTATAGGGTCTACAGGATCTCCCTACACAGATTGGACTTGTAGTGATCTTCCTGTTTTCAGCCTCTGGGACTATAGGAGCGCGCCACCACATCCAGCCTCAATCTCTGTCTCAGCACACCCTCTGGGGCCTGCACCAGCAGGTGGGGGCATCGAACCCTGGTCGCTGTGCCTGTCTAAGCAGCAGCTTTAGTCTGCTGTGCTACCTGGCTGGCCCATCTTTTTGGTATTTGAAGAAAGCAACAGAACCAATTTAGATGAGATAAACATTGTCAGAGAGCAGAGTTCCCAAGCATGCATCACTAGTATTCACAGCAAGAGAGGGCTTGTGGCAAACTGATAATGGGTAGGATTTGAGCAGATTTCTACCGTCATGGTGTACGGAGGAAGACACAGGGCCTGGAAATACCAGCTCTTTAACAGAGCGCTTCAGGAGTGACATTTTTCCATCTGATGCATCCACATATCAGGATATCAAAGATGATTCAATTACTCAAAAAACAGTCTTCTAATTCTATGCTTTTTAAATCTAATTACCTACTAGAAGACTAAAATAAATCTAATTTCTCTAAGGTTGCTCACCAGTACTACACAGCAGTATTGCGATGAAAGAAAACGAGCTTTTGTATTTAGTTTCTAAGTGACATTTAAAAAAATGTTGGTAAAAATGCAAATCTGTTAAATTCTAAATGACCGATTCTAGCGTGCCAACTGCCAAAGATCGCTTTCTTCACCCACCTGCAAACTTCTTGCCTAAGGGTAAGTATAACTGCTTGATGTATGAAATTGTGCAATTTAGGGTACTGGAGAAAGGTGGAAAATAATAAAATAATACTCTGTGACAATGCACTTCTGTGAACTTACGTGCTACAGAAAAATTTTCTGTAGAGCAAAGGACTTGGCCAAAGAAGGCAACTGATATTAAAATAATTAGCACAGATTCCTTGGTGCACACATGATGAAAACAAAAAGACCACGTAGAGGTGTAAACAGGCTAAAAATGACCTTGGCAGAAACAGCTCCATCCATTTACGATATGCCAAATGCATGCAGCTTATAATTCCCCCCTCTTTCACAACAATGAGCTGGAAGAAGAAAACCAAAACATAGAACCCTCTGTTTCCGTAAGTAGAAAACCATCACAGATCCATTAGGTTCCAAGACAAAAAAACTTTAAAATATTAATATTGAAAAATACAATTAAATTTTTATTAAAAATACATACTCCTCACTCAATCTGTGTGTACATTTCATGTGAAAAAGAAAAAAAAAAAAAGAAAGGCATTAAGACTACCTAATTCTTTATACTGTATTTGGTAAAAGCGTGTTTCAGTCACACTTAAGTAAGTCATTCTGCTTTCATTTGCTCCCGGACGTCTGAGGGCAAAGTTTCAAAGAGAGTGTCTTCTACAACTAAACCAGCTCGCTTCAGAGCCCGGCAGTCACCCAGTTCAGGAGGGAGGATTTCAAAGTGATTCCCTTTGACATCCAAGTAGGAAAGAAAGAGTAAATTTCCAATTTTCGGTGAGAGTACTGATAGACTGTTTTTCCCAATCTTCAGAGTCTTAAGTTTCTTGCAGAAGTACAGTTCATCGGGAAGGCTTTCCACCTTGTTACAAGTGATGGAAAAATACTGTAAACTTTGTAGAACTCCCACTTCCGGTGGGATGAATCGGATATCATTGTAGGATAAGTCCAGGTATCGGATTTTGTTGCATAGGAAGAGGTGGGAAGGCAGCACCTCTATTTTATTGTGACTAAAGGACAGCCGCTCCAGACTGGTAAGCTTCTTTATGTGCTCGGGGATGTAGGTGATGCTGTTATGCCACAGTTTCAGCACCGTCAGCTTGCGCAAGTGCTGGAAGCTCACGATCTCCTCTATGGACTTCAGGTTGTTTTCCTTCAGGTCCAGCTCCTGGAGGCTGAGCAGGCTGAACACAGCGTGGGGAATGCGCTCCAGGTCGCAGTGCACCAGCTCCAGCTCTGTCAGGTTGGTCATCTTCTTCAAGTTGTTGATCATCACGAGCTTGGTGCCGTCGTTGTGTATGCACATCTTCTGGAGGTGGCTGGCGACGTCCACCACCGCCTGCGGGATTTTGGAAACGTTGCTTTTGATAGAGAGAATTTTAAGGCTTTTGAGATCCCGCAGAGACTCAAGGGTGACATTTTTTGAAATATCATGACTTAGAGAGCCAACAAGGTAGAGCTCTTCCAGGTTCCGCAGGCCATACATCCAGGGGGGCAGCTCCCTCATGTCATCAAACTTGACACTCAGGACTTTGAGGTTCTCCTTCAGGAAAGAGAGCGCTGCGCTGTGGATTTTGACAGAGCACTGGTGCAGGGAGAGCTCCTGGAGATTGTCCAGCTGAGCAATGGTGGCCGGGATCATCACGTTCTTAATGATTTCAAGTTTTAGAGATTGCAACTCTGTGATTTCAAAGACAGTGTCTGGAAGGCCTGACAGCATGATAAGAGGCAATTCCAGCCGGTTATGGGCGTTTGTCTGCAGCTTCTGCCTCAGCTTATCGGGAGTCCACTCGTTGTTTAAGTTTAGCTGCTTTAATTTGTTTTCACTGACTTCAGACAGGAACACTGCAAATCTCTTGGAATAAAGAGGGTCATACTGATCGATCATATGAAGCATAAAAGCAAAGTCATTTTTCACATCTGGAATATCATCAATTCCTGTCTCCTGCCGGACATACTCAAAAGAATATTCCCTCAGAGAGCGGTAGAACAGCCAATATAAGGTGTAAAGGCACGTCAGGCCGTAGATACTTACAAAGCACAAGTAGCAAAAGGAGAGCTTTGAAAACAAGTGTGCCATGGTATGATTACAAGAGAAGTTTTTATATCCAGTCATGTCCTGAATGTCAACATTACAATCCACCGTGAACTGGACCTTGGAAACCAGAGCACTGTTATATGCAATGATGATGAGGAATTTGATAACCTTGAGAACAGTCTGGCGAACATACATAGCATATAGTATGTCACCTTCTTCTACATGCAGCCTGAACTTCTTCACCTTCTCAAATAAGGCCTTTGCTTGCTCCCCTTCCTTTTTATCCAAAGCTCCTGCTGTAGATTTGTCAACCACAAACTTCTCAGGAATTGACTTCAGAGACTGAGAGTTGACCAGGCTGCCTTCTGGACCAGACTGGGTGGTGTTGGACCTGTTCATATTGTTCTTCCTGTTGTCTTTTTCTTCTGAATCCTCCCCAGACACTTCAGATAAAGCCCGTGTGGTCCAGGGAGAGTCAAAACACTTTCCCAGGATGGAGATGAAATGTTCTATTTTGGAGCTGGATCCAGGGAATTTGAACCAAAAGTTACTGCAGAGCATGAAGACCAGAGTGTGGATGAGCACAAGGTAGGGGAAATACTTGGCATACCAGTGGAGGGCTCGCTCGTAGCACATCTGGTTTATGAAGCTGTACTGCTGAAGATCCAGGTCCGTCTTCAGTCCTTTCATTTCCACCGTGGCAGGACTGAGAGGGGATGGTCTGGGTGGAGGCAGCGGGGTGGCGCTGGCCACTGCTTGAGAGACATTTGAAACGGATGAGTGGTTCTGAGCAGGCTGCACTCTTTTTGGAAGGCAGATTATCTTGTCTTGCATGACCTGAAACACAGAATTAATATTTTCAAATTATATTACTCAAAGCTTTCATAATGTCATTAGTGTAAGGAAAGCAGCAATAACATCCAATAAATGTCCATTTCCTCTGCCTGGAAAACATAATGCTCAGTTCCAGCACCAAGATTTTATTCTTAGCTCATATGTTAAAAAAAATGAAATGTCTGACTTTGTTCATCATGTCTAAGTAATGACAAAGAACAGCAGCTTTGTCAGGATATAACACAAGTCAAAACAAAGTGACATTCTAGAGAACATTCACTTGCTTAAGTTTGCATTTCTTTTCTCATTGGAGATAGACAGAATCAATCATTAGTCTAGAAAGTACCTCCCCAATCAGATTCAATTCGGATTTGCTTTCAAAAGTCCTACTGTTTTTTTTTTTTTTTTTTTTTTTTTTTTTTTTTTAAACAGGTGCAGTAAAAGGATTGGAAAGAAGCAATATGGATAAATTCCTATTATTTCTCCTTTTCTTTCTATATATACCATGGACTCTGCATAGATTAATATGAATAGCTTTAATATAAAGGACATTTTGCTAAGATTTCATAAAAATAATTTCTTCAGAGAATAACATAGAAGTGTTCAACAGTAAAACAATGGTGTCTAAATTTTCTGGCTTTTTGTATAATCTGGAGAACATCTGTTTGCCAATGTTTACTGTGTTAAAAAGAATGTCACGCTGTAAGAGTTAAGTGATTTCATCAGATTGCAATTTGGGAAAGGGGGAACATACCATTTTTGAAGCTGAGGTAGGGTAAGGCAGAATATGCCTTGTGTCAACTTTGGGAATTATCGTCAGAAGCAATAGTAAGGGGAACAATTTGAACAATAAGCAAATGGGTCAAAGTGAGAAGAACAACCAACGAGTATACAGCAATGGCACGTGGAACAAATCATCCAGAGAAAGTCTGCCGTACTGTACCACCAAGAGTCGAATGGCTGGAACTCCAGTGCTCGGTGATTCTGCAGGGTGAAATGTTTAGTAATGTTCCCTCATCAAAGCTCTTTACTTTGATCACAGAAGCAGAAAGAAACAGAACGCACTGCAAAGTAGACTTCTATGGCATGGTACACGACCACAAGCTGGTGCCAAAGGAATTATAGCTCATGAGACAAAAGCACAGTGCTGAGAACAGAGCGAACCACCCAGCACTTGGTGAAGTATCCAGTATACCGGGGACCACAAGTATACATTTTTTGAGAATGTGACTGAACCCAGAATGGCTGAGAGTCCTTGCAGCTCAGGGTTCTACTGTCTCCGTGTGAAGGATACCTTTTCTGGGGATGAGGACGATGATGACAGCGATGAACACAGCACATTTCTGCTCCATATGCAACTGTCCTACTCTCCTAATGCCATGGCTATTAGTTCTCCTTTTTTAAATCTTTCTTTATTTGGTACAGGGTCTCCCTGTGCAGCTTGGACATGTAGTGAGCCTCCTGTTTCAGCCTCACCAGCGCTGGGATTACAGGTGTGTGCCACCATGCATGCTTCTGGTGGCCAGCACAGTGCTCCGGGGTTCTGAGGCCAGTACAGCATGCGGTACTGGGGATCAAACTTGGTCCTTGTGCTTGCTGGGCAGACGCTTCGACAGCTGAGCAATCACCCTGGCCCCTATCAGGTCTTTTAACTGTCACCTTAGTCTGCTGAGGCCTTCTCCTTACTCGTATTATTCTCTGTAGAGAAAGACAGTGAGATGCCTAATGCTAGCCAGCAGAGCATGGCCATGTGGACATTCTTATTTTATTTAATGAAATTTCTAGGATTAAAACCAAGGATCCAAATTTGACTTTATCCTAAACAATAAATTATTTTATGCAAATCTTTCATATTTTAAGAACGAAACTTACTTCTTCCCATCTCCTCTGTGCATGATAAGAAATGAAGATGGAAGAAGAGTGAGGCTTTGCTACTGAGTTTATGCCAGTCTGTCCTGGAACTACTGACAATTTAAATCAAAAGAAGGCAGGGAAGAATAATACATATGGCTCCATTTCCAAGCTCAATAGCTGCAGAGATGTCAGAATGGAACTGCATTTTTATGGCCAGTGCCAGAGAAAAAAGGTTGAGCACACCCACCTAGCATATGTGTATTTATATTTAAAGTCATACACCAATCAATATGTCAAATATTGGAAAAGCTTAAGCTTCTTTCTCATTAAGTTTAAAACATATATAAATGAAAATTTTTACTTTGGTCTAACATTTCAATGAAGCATACTATTTATTCCTTGGAGGTCAAACACCCTATTTGGAAATCTCTGCAAGAGTAGGAAAATACCTTGGTATATGTCAGAATATCTCTAATTTATCTTGAGATCTAAGAGAAACAGTTACGAAATTTAGGGACCTGATGCTTTCTCATTCTTGGTCTCAGGTCCTTCAGGAATCTGTGAAGTAGGAAGAGATGGAGGTCAGAGACCATCAGGGAAAAGGAATATACTTCCCTGAGCACACTGTCCTACCGTGATGCTCTTGAGCTAGTATGTTATATGACACTGTTAATAATGTGCTAAAAACACAGAAGAATCAGTGTAAAGCAGGATTAGTCAGGAGAAGGGCCCACATGATAGCTCAGCGGACTAAGCACCTGCTTAGGCAAGTGCAGGGACAAGGGTTCGATCCCTGGCACCACATGCCCCACTGGCCCCACCCCCAGGCCCACTGAACCAGCAGCAGAGACTAGGCATAGTAGTGCATGCCTATAATCCCAGTGCTGGGGAGGCTGAAAACAGGAGGATCACTACCAGTCTAAGCTGTGTGAGACCCTGCACCAAATACATAAAATAGTAACAATAATTAGTAATATAAAAGATTAGTCAGGAAGCAAAAAGGCAGGCACCTTCTAAAGGATCAAAGTCCCTGCCAAGTGATGAGGGGAACTGTCCCCATCCCTCCCACAGGCATGGTTCTAGTGGGGGATTCTGCAGGTCTTCTTGGACGTGGCACAGGCTTTCAGGGTATTCCCTGAACCATAGTGCCAGGCTGAGGGGCAAGTGTAGGCTAAACTCCAGTCTATGCTCCCCTTGCTTAGGTGCACCTGGTACTGTGTCTGCACAGTGAGGTGTTTTTAGTGTTTTGGACAAGGGTAGCCAATTTGTCGGGGAGGTAGGTCACACTGCTTCCATTCTACAGAAAAAGAACTTGACCAAGGTTCAGGAGACTTGGGGGGATGTGCACAAATCCACACAGCTAGAAATGGCACGACAGAAGTTAAAGCCGCCTTCTGCACTGCGTTCGTCCACCTCTCCGCTCAGTCACCTCCTCTTGCTAAGTTCCAGGCCTGATGGCTTTGCAGAGAGCTGCCCAACGTAGGACAGCAACATGGAGGCACTGGTAGAAGTTTTCTGATTTTATTTTTTCTTTCAGACTTTATGCTTGCTCAAATCCCAGGAAGAGAAAAGCTATCTTCCCAAAGACTAGTGAGTAGGAAAAGTGTCTCTGAAAATAATAGCAGCCTATGAAACATGAAAGTTTTTTTCTTCGTCTTTTCTGCTCTTTGCAGAAGTTTGTGTAGTTAAACCTATACCAACCTCCTTTTCTTTTATCCACTGATGTAAAAATTAGGATGCAAAACAAACCTATACAAAGTTGCATAACACATTTCAAGAGAACTATAGGGTTTGGGTTGCTGATGCAGGACTAAGGGAGAGTTTTTGGGAGAGGGCAAGAAGAAAATCCCCAGCTACATCCAGTTCTGTGTAACCCTGCTTGAGGCTTAGAGCCTTTCCAGGGTCACAAGGTGCAAAAGTTCTACCTTCCGAGCTCAGGCTGCTTTTGGAGGAAAAAGCTCGAGTACAGAGCTACATACATAGTATGTGTAGAATGAAAGAGGGCAGGGAAAGGACAGCTGTTTACGTGTGTGTGTGTGTGTGTGTGTGTGTGTGTGTGTGTGTGTGTATGTATGTATTAAAAAGCAAAAATTAATAAGCAGACCTGACCCAAATTACATCAAGGTGAGAATTTTTTTCTTTTTTTTTTGGCAGAACTGGGGATTGAACTCAGACCCTTGAGCTTGCCAGGCAAGTGCTTATTCTCCTGAGCTATCTCCCTGGCCCCAGGTGAGAAATGTTAATATCCTAAAGGCTGATATCAAAATTCTTCTTAGGAGTCAGGCATGGTGGTGGTATGTGCTTGTAATCCCAGCACTTGGGAGCCTGTGAGTTCAAGGCCAGTTGGGCTACACAGCAAGATCCTGTCTCAAAAAGCCAAAAGAGAAAAAAAATCTGAAATCATGCATGCTAAGAAAATAAGTGTGGGAATGAAGACAGGGATACAGAAGAAAGTGCATCAACAGTGGGGATCAGATAAAGCCCAGGCACAGAGAGATGCCTAGACCAGCCCTTCTCCATTGGGGGGCGCAGGCGAGGAGGAGGAGGACGAGAGCCAGCAGAGCCAAGGAGACAGGAAGTGGGGGCCAGTATGGGCCCGCTAAGTAACACAGGGCTGGGGTATGCGCTCACCTGTCGGTTTTATTTGATTACTTTCTTTAAGAATTAAAAGAAATTACTGGTGACTTGCAGTACGTGATGATTACGTTCATCACGGGGAACTGGCACACGCACACCACACATCTGTTTTCTTTCAGCCCCTTTCCCTCTCTTTGCTCTTCGCTCCATCTCCTGCTCACCTTCCCTTTGTAAAACACCATTCTCCCTATCTCCTATCCGCTCTTATTTCACTTTTCATTTATATTTTGAGGTTCCCATATAAGAGAAATCATGCAATATTTTTATCTGAGGTGCAATTACCTTCCAACCTCTTCCAAATCTTTAGTAGAATCTGTTACATGCCCACACACGCACCACCCCTCTTAAGAATATTGTATAAATCATGGCAAACTGCATGCTTGAATCAAAACCGTAAAGAAAGGAAAAGTCTTCTCAGGATGGCTCGAAAATCTATTAGCTAAATTATTTCCATGGAAGCAGAAACTGGGACCCCAAGAACTGACCCTTCCAGGAGTGGGCCAAAAGTTTGA